CTTATTTGAAATCGGCAATGACTTAGTTGCCAACCGAATACAAAGACAAACAGCGGCTCATCCTAAACCACGACGAATTAAGAACCTAGGTACAAGAAGAGCCTAAGCTCAATTAGGACAATTTTTACAACATTGCTTAGGCCAATAACAACACAATCAAGACTCTCTTAAGAACAGAATATTTCGCTACTCTCGAGCTCCTTTGAGAAGTCTCTCTCGACCTCTTACAATAAAGCCTCCTACAGCCTATCAGATAACAATGACAATTTGCAAAAAGTCCTGACTAGAAAAAATGCATCCAAACGTGGATGGAGAGGCCCCACTTGTTAGAACAACAAGCTCACTCTTCTCAGGCACAGTTAACCACTAAGACTTCCATCACCCAACTTCCAGTTGACTTAACTTCTACCAAAAACCGTAGTGATCGAAATGCCACACAGTAGAACGGCATTCTCAACCATGACATCTAATTTAGTGCAAGCAAACTTTAAATTCTTTAAAAATAACTCTTCATGTTCTTACAAGTTAAATAGTAAGAATCCTTATTGTCACCCAATAAATCCTTCTCCACCTTTGCCTCAAATTGACAGCCACTCACATCTGTTTGCACCAAGAATAAAACACCGAACTTATAAATGAACGAACATTAAATTTGAGTGCGTATAAGCAAGTCAACTAACCTGAATTTACATAATGTTTCGCTTCCACATCGAGGTCTTTTATTCTTTCACTTATTCCTTTCCATTGCCTACTATCGTACATATCATTCCCTTTCATATCATATATCACTTCGGCGAGATTACCAGAGGGGAAAAAGGCCTTGAAGGTCTAAAACAGTAATGCTGTGTTAATTTCAAAACCAAACATGGGAAATTTCGACAAAGTAGATGGTAAATTTACCAAATCTGCATTGAGCCTTAGTTTCCATTGTGGACGAGCACTTACTGAGAAACCCTTGAATACAACGAATTCTGGTCTAGGCTCACTTTTGTCGCTAAACAGACCACTTTTGATCAGAGTATATTGATCTTTATTTATCCACCTCAATAAATTGTCGAGCATATTGATAGCATCTTGGGGAAGTTGATCTGTTCTTGCTGGGCCCTTTGTCAGGTAATCCAATATAGGCTGAGCCGATATGGTTCCGACATATTTGATAATATATCTAAGTTTCACATTTTCTCCCTCAGTCTCCGGTAAGGCCAGTGTAATGGGACTGTCATTAGGGAATCTATTATTATCTAAAGGTTTCAGCGTGTAGAGGAACCTTTGACCGTCAGAAAACACATCCCGCCCCATTCTACAAATTAAAAAGGCGTTTCACATGGGCAAATATATTAAAACAATAACATTAAAGATCTCTACTGCTTTATAAAAGCCATTTGCAGTCTTATCAAGCTGAATCCAGGCTGGAGGAGGATACGTACACAATGATTGAATGTGCAATGGGCAAGTTCTCGATTCACCCTAACATTCACAAAATTTGATCTTACTACGAAGATATCTCCCTATTTTACTGTTTCTGAAGGTCTTCACACAAACGATTATTTTTCAGGTATTAGACTCAACCAAGCACAAAATTACGCAACTTACAGATTAAAGACATGTGGCATGTGTCTTCTTAGACGGTTAACCCTGTCCGTCAGTATTTTTTCTTGATTATTTTCGTTAACTGTAAACAAATTCACAGGTTGAATGTCGTAACGATGTATAAGTGTGTTGCCAATCTCCAGATCCCAACAATTGACCACAACCTTCGTTGGTTTACCCACTTTACCGTTGGAGGGCCGGTTTGGCAAATAGCGCTCACGTGAGAGAGAAATCTCCCTAGAAAGGATTCGAGTTGATGGAATCCATTCAATAAGATAAATCTTACATCGATGGGCTAAAAGAGGAAAGCGAAAAATGTAAGCCAATATGAAAAAGTACGTTAACTAGTAGACGAGGTGTACTTACCTTTCGGATTCGGTGATAGAGAGCGATTCCATATCTTTTGCCAAACTACAAATTCCATTTGATGGAAGAAAAAAGTTAGCTAATAAGCAGATAAACATTATTTAATGAAAATTGATTAACCCTATTTGAATACTTCTACTCTAGAATCCAAGCAACTGTATCAGAAGAAATAGACCTCACTATTTCAACGGCGATTGCTATTTTCCATGAAACAAAGCTAAACTTAAAATGGAGACAATTCGCAAATCTTTGAATTTCGGTCATCAAACTGATAGAGGCTTCTAGTGTCCCACAGTCCTGCTTGAAGACTTCATTCAGTACATTAACACTAATTGGTAGATAGGATAAGAGGAAGCATTCACCACCACTATCACTAATAATTGGAACTAAGCACCAAAGAACCCATGGGAAAGTTGAAATGAGCCAAAACTTACGACTGATTCCCGGAAGAACCTTGGCCTTTACCACGTTTTTTGCGTTTACTATTTCCACTATTTCCCGATTCACCTGTTGGTTGGTCCCCTGGTGGCGGTATTGAATGCGACGCGATAGGACCAGACTTTTCCAGCGGAAGTTCAGAAGAAACAATAGGTGGCGTAGTCGTTTCTACATCTCCTGCTGGTGTTGAAGATGGAGAAAAACACCGAATATCACCTCTATCACCCCAACCACCTGCTCCACGTGGTTGTGCTCGACCCCCACGGCTTGAGCCATAACCGCCCTGACCTTCATTTAGACCACCGCGCGAGCGTCCACGATTGCCTCCACGAACACGGGAAGGATCTTGGCCACGACCACCTGAAGCACCACGATATCCACCTTCATTACCACCACCACTAGGTCCAGAATGAAATCCTTGACCACCCCGATGACCACCCGGAGCACCACGGTGTCCACCTTCATTACCACCACCACCACCACCACCACGAGGTCCAGATTGGTAACCTTGACCACCTCCACGACTTCCCCGACCACCACGGTTTCCACCTCTATCAATACCACGTGGCCAATCTCTGTCTTGGCTGAAGAAATTAGTGTCGAAAACAATTAAAACACCCAAGTAACATGCGAACTTTGTGAATCAAAAATAACCATACCCTCTAGACATCTTATGATAATAGTGAAAACTCTAAAAGATGAGGCCGCTGTATTTAAGAGAAATAAAAAGGCTACGAGGAAGCACAATAAAACGAAAGAGAGATACGAGCAAATCAAACAATGAAGGCGTATGGCTGCTTAAACAAATCATTCACTATTTCAGGGTCATGAGCTTATTAACTCAATACAAAAGGTAAGACTGTTATGACCATAAAATTTATTTAACTTGTTATAATTTAATTTATATAGCTTAAATGATAAAAAAATTTTTACCAAAAAATTATAATATTCCATTACCATTAAAAATAATTACTCAAATAGAACTAAATGCAACTAACAAAACGTCAGATGGCCTNTATTGTGTATGATAAATTTATTTAAAATTGGTATCGAAATCCTATACTTTTTAAACTTGGAGGTTTTAGGCATATTCAATGATGCTTTTACGAATTCCTTGTCATTCATTCTGTTTCCCGATATTGCCCAGGTTTATTGGTTTATTTCGACAGCGATGGTAGCGATGAAGTAGCAAAACATTATGTAAATTCAGGTTAGTTCCCTTGCTCATACGCACTCAAATTTAATATTCGTTTATTTATAAGTTCGGTGTTTTATTCTTGGTGCAAACAGATGTGAGTGGCTGTCAATTTGAGGTAAAGGTGGAGAAGGATTTATTGGGTGACAATAAGGATTCTTACTATTTAGTTTGTTAGAACATGTTGAGTTATTTTCAAGGAATTTAAAGTTTGCTTGCACTAAATTAGATGTCATGGTTGGGAACGCCGTTCCACTGTGTGGCATTTCGATCACTACGGTCTTTTCTAGAAGTTAAGTCAACTGGAAGTTGAGTAATAGGAGTCTTAGTGGTTAACTGTGCCTGAGAAGAGTGATTTCATATTTAGTGCCAGAGCATTGTTATTATGTGAGAATCCATATTTGTTTGATAGTTTCATGCTTTGGGGCGCTTCCCCTACTCCTCTTGAAGTGGGATCTGCGATTTTATAGACAGTGGTTGCAGCTTGTTTTTCTAACATATGCAGCCTATCCTTCCACGTTTGGATGCATTTTTCCTAGTCTAATCTTTTCAAGCTTTTGGATTTTAGTGCCTTTGAAACGATCGTTGTGCTATCGGCTTTCTCTCCTCATCTTTCTAATCTCTATCAACTCCAGCTACACTTGACCGCCGTGGGGTCATTGAACTACAACAGTCAGAGTGCATGCTTCGGGAAAATGGACATCTGTTTCTTTACTAGGCTTATCTCCAATATTTCACTATTCTCCAATCCTTGATAAAGCATAAATAAAACTAAAAAATGAATCATTATTCTCATTTATTACTTCATTATTATATTAATATTTGTTAAGTCGAATCATTCTAAACATATTCTAATTTAGATCCAAAATATTCTTTTCTAACTTAAGCACTTATAAGATTCACTGTTATGCAACTGCGGCCATTTTTACCAAAATTCTTTGATATTAGTAAACTTTTGTTTGAAACAGGTTAAAATACCACAATTCCATCTATTGACAAGTACTTATATTTACATCTCCAAATGTAATAAAATGTTCCGCTATTAACATTTCTTAATAGTCAGAAATCTGTTAGACGACATGTCGTTAACTGCATAAATTTACACGCCGAATGCCTTTCAAAATGATCGAGTTACATGTAGCTAAGATAGAGATCGCACTTTCTCAATAACTGGATTTCGGTTGATAGATGTTACAATTAAATTGAAGTGACATAGGTATGAGTGTGGGGTATTGAAATTCGATTATTGGGAGATTAAAAAGAAAACTATATACTTCACGAAAATGTGCAAAACCTAATAATTCCGGAGCTTAAATTATAGTAAAACTTCTGAAGTTCAGGTTTCATCACCCCCTCTTCTAAACTCTTGATCATTCAATAAGTGGTTGAATTCGTGGAATATGCAACACTCAATCGAACTTGCACCAATCAAACTAGTTCAATTAGGTACATCTTTTAAAAATTGCTTTAATAAAACAGTTGAAACCTCTTCAGTAAGCTCTGAAAAGTTATCCATCAGTGCTTGAATTAAACCTACCACGATGTTAACACAAATACACTTAGGTATCAAGCTATTTTATTCCGAATTAAGAAACAAATCACTTACTGCTCAGAAATAGGATTGAAACGAATGTGATGACGCTTTTGCACAACGATAAAGATGATTTTAGGTTCATATCCAGGTTGATTATCAGTTCAAGCTTTTTGAATATCTCCAAGCTCTGATTCCAGCACTTGATAGAACTGTCCCTATGGAACACCAACTCGATAGACTATTATTTTCGTAGGTAGTCTGCCATTATTATCCTTTCCAAAAGTCTACACAGTATATGCAATTCAAAAATGCGCTTATTACCTCCAAAAGGTCCGTAAATATGTCCTCCATTCCATTTATGCACTCACGGACCAATTTGTGTTCCTGTTGTCTAACCACTGCAGCATACTTCATCAGGTCTGGAGGAATCGAGGCCACAACAGCTGCAACAGATTTTTGAATGCTTGCGTTTTTAGAAGTTGGATGTGTTACATCAGCACCGGCAACCATGATGATCTCCTTTCCCCACCAATCTGATAATTGACTGACTTGCCAATTCGAGCCTCCCAACTTTCCATTTATTTTCAGCAACAAGTTGCCTGAAATGCGAAAGCACATTTTTGCAAAATGCTTCTAAGACATTTTCGCTATCGAGATATGACCAACTAATCGATAATAACTCGTCTTTGAATGCTCTCATCTTTGACACGTTGGGTCACCATTAACTTATTCAGCTTACTTGCACGTTTGATTCCCGAATAGTCTTCCATGTCGAACAAATGCATACAGATAAATGTATACCCTAAATTAATGCCAAGTTTAAAAGGGCTGTTGACAATATGAGAGAAACGCTACTAATAAGATTCTCGAAAAGGAGGGTAATTCCGCCACAAAAACCCTCTCCACTTCTGAATTTCAATCCCTTTAAAGCTCCTTTGAAGCAGTCCACCATTCAAAACCTGAAATTTGACAAAATTTAGTACAACATGCATACTTTGAATGGAAACAAAGCAAAAACGACCCATTTAAGGAAAGTTGGAGCATCTCCAAAGAAGGATTCCAGACTCCATGAGCCTCGTTTCACCTCTTTTTTGTGGTCGAAAAGTCGAACCTATGGTTGGACGATTCTCGGGCGACAACCCCAATCGGCTTCGGGTCTGTGGACTTTAAGTTCAACTTTGATATCAACGAACTGCACCTAGAGTAGGACGAAATCTCGTACACAGTCCCCATAAGGAACAGTCCAAGTAAACGAAGTAAAGGTGGTTACTTACAATGACATACCTTCCTTTACCATTCTCCCCAAATCCCTAAATCGTTCTAAAGGCTTAACTGCAGCCATACGAATAACCCCAGAGACAATACGTCCTTTTTCCTCCCGTGTTTATTTCGAAATGGCAAGACTGTTAGCAATTCCATTGGCATAAACTCATCTCTGTTTTTCTCGATCTATAGACAGGTTGATTGATTGGACTAACATTTATTTAGCTTACCCGAACCCAAGGGAGATTAGGATACTTCAAAACTATGCCATACTTCCTTGTAAAATATTCTGTTACAGACATATCAAATGCTTTGATAATGATTTCATCCGCTGTTTTATCTGATAAGCTAAACATTGTTAATACCTTTGAGAAGGATTTGCCCGTATCTACAGGAAGAAGACTTTTAGTCACGCGAATGATGTAGATTCATGCGTTAATTCGTTCAAAAATGCCACCGGAATTTCTGTAGTGGCTAGCTTCAGCCTTAAGAGAAGCAATTTCAGCACTGATTTTTTTCCATTTTGACCTATCATACATGCTGTGGCTGTACTTTTCACATAGCACATCAGCCAAATTTCCGGCTGGAAAGGTAGCCTTGTAGGTCCGTAAAATAAAATATTATCCAGTAATTCTATTCGATTTAACAACACTAGAGGTGTTGCTGATTTTTCTTTCTCACCAAATCGGTATGAATTCTCAACTTCCACTGTGGTTAAATGCTGAACAATCAATCCTTACGGATGCAGATGAGGCCATTTGAACATATCTTTTCAGTATCTCTTGAAAATGTCAAAGCTTTTTCTATTAGCCCACGTTCTTAATAAGGCATTTTTACAACAACTCTCATTCACCACCATGCACAGCTAAATATTGTGATTCTGAGAGGTTGAATTTGCTTTCAAGGGGATCCAGTGAGATCGCCGGTCGCTTATTCGAGTGAGCGGTTATTGGGTTGCAAAAATAGTTTCGTGGAATGGAATTTTCCTTATTACTCCCATGGGAAGCTTTTCGAAAATCCCAGAGCAGTGGATTAATTTATGCATCGCCTATTTTTAGAAAAAGTACTTTTATCACGTGGACTAACTAAATCGTTCAAATATCAGGGACGAAAATGATTTTAAGAAATGCTCTACAATTAAAATAGCCTCGAAAATTTCTCGATTTATTTGGTTCATTTGACAAAAATATCAACTCGTGTTCAGTGTAGATATCACATGACAACGTTGTTTATTGTGAAAAATAACAAAAAATAGCCAATTGAGCTAAAATTTATCCACATTAGATAGGATAAAATAGCAGACAAATGTACTTTAGAGAACGAGTGATTGTTGAAATCTTGCAAATTTCACCACGGTTGCTAACTCATCTCTTCCTTTTTTCCAAATAAAAAGTAATTCGAATTTTGAAATAAGAGTATTAAAAATTTCATTAACTTGTATTTGGTAAGATGAGGTATAAAGCCAATGAGGTTAAGAACGTATTACGCTTAGTTTTAAAATAACTGTCCCGATAATGTAATGCATATTTGTGAGTTGCCAAATTTCGTGGACTAATAACGCCTTATGAAAGGACCCGCACCACTTTTAATAAGTAAACAGTAAATAAAAAATTTTGACGAACTTCACCGGCTGAGCTAGAAAAAATAGCATCATAACTACTAGTTTAGAAATTGAACATGCCCAATCAGTGACCTCACAACGAATCCCCAAGAATTGTTGTAATTAATTTGTGATTCGACCCAACTCTGGCACATGAATTCAGAACATACGCCAGTAACCCCAGAGATATGGCGAAAGTTCGTCCCCTTCGACGGTCTTGACGTAATCAATCATGTAGACATTCTGGGCGCTACATAAACATTCAGCAAATTGATAACTGCTGATGACATGAGGTCCATAGGCATTGGTTAAGTCGTTCAACACCTATTCAATTTTGTTTCGCATTATACCCGTGGTTTACCTATTTCCGCCCTAATTTTAGTTAACAATTTTATTCCAAAACCTTAAATCAATCAACACAATTAGGATAACAGGCCCGCAGAAAAATAAAGTGCATTGGATTTGCTGAACATGATGGTGTATTACAAAGGGAATCGATGATGACATAAGAAAAAGTAGCAGAAAAAGGTGAAGAATGAAGTGTCTCCGTTCAAGGCGCATTAAGTTCATGGGCATTTTAAGCGAATTAAACGGGTGTTTTCACCATCAAAAAAAACAGAGTGTTATTCATCAGCAGAGTCGTCTTTCAAGCTCTGTTTGTAGTTTTCATGAACTTTAAAAGATACATAAGCGAGAAGACCTAAAGATGCACCTTGACCGTATATTCTCCAACGCATCATTCTTTGCATTGTAGTGGTGTCTGACGAACGCATTTTACTTGCTCCGATGCCAAGTACAACACCGGTGAAAATTATGCCTTAGTTAAAGGGTTAACAAATTAATAAACATACCAACAGGTATCAGAGGATTTTCTATCATAAGCTTCTTGAATCTAACATATCGGCTCTCGACTTGTGTGTCTGTGGCGTTTTTGTAGTAGACAAGACTGTCTTTTGACGACATTACCCAGGCACTTAGACACACAGGTTTACTGCAAGTAAAAGGCTTAGCCCGTAGCCAATCGCCAGTTTTATTGGCATAAGTGAAAGTTCATAAGTTAAAACATTGCTATGTAAAATTCGATGTGTTTATTAATATATCTGAATAATTAAAAATTCAATCATAAAATTTGTTTTATTAGTAGAAAAATCGATGAAAATTTAATCAGTTTTGAACTATCTAATTCTTTAATGTCACCCTTCAATGGACTAGTCTATTAACTTATTTTTTCCGAGCATGGAATTAAACTAATGGATTTTAGATATCAGTGCTTTATAACGCGTTTTCTCCCTATACTTTTTATTGGAGTCTTACATAGGGATCTTTAATTAGCTTATTGTCAATGATGTTTATTTAACTTCATTTTGGTGAAGAAAGGAATAATTTTAACACAATTCAACTTTTGTTTGAGGTGTAATGAGACATTAGTCAAATAAACTACGTAATTCTGTATTGATTTTACGGTTTTTATATTCAAGTTAACCCAGTCTACCTTTTTTTACTTAAAATTTTACATTTTATCTTATCACCTATCGATCAAATTGATTATTCCTTTAGGAATATTATGCCTTTGGAGTAATTTTCACTTCAATATCAAAATCTGGATTAAAGAAAAACAAGTAACATCATTCTCTTATCTGACTACATTTAGGTTAAAGATGAAGTCAACAAATATGTGGTTAACAGTGGTATATAAGTGCATAAATTAATTGAGAGATTAAGCGAAATATCTTATTTCACTATTTCACCACAATAACCTTTTCGAATGAGCTTTTCAATTCGATTGTAATATTTAAACAATACTTTTAGAAAGATTTACTTAGTAATTAATAGATTGAGCCGTTATAAATTCCTTGAAATATACAATCGCACTACGATTTTCACCCTGGTCTCCAGATTAAATCATATCCTCAAATATTTTATTTGAGTCAAATCCTTCTATTTATTAAACATTTATTTTGTAATTGTTCGGATTTAAAACAAATCATATTAACTATGTACACCTACATTCAATGGCCTTCGATGCGAAAAATCCAGTTTACTGATCTCTGACTCGAGATTACGTATAAATCAAGCTAAATCACGCAAACTATAAAATGAAAAATTGTGAATTCCTACAGAATTTATGCCCATTGTTACCCATGGTGAATTTTACGATGGAATTATTTAAAGAGCACATTTTTGGGTAAGAGATATTTATCTTCCACATTGACAAACAGTACAAAGGGCCTTTACAAAGTCACTACGCAAATATAATTGTGTATTTGAAAAGCCTAGCTTAAAAATTAATTTTGATTTGAAGGACGATGAGTAGAACACTAAGCCTCAAATATGTGATATAAGTATCTAAACCGACTTCACATATGGTAACCCTTGTCTCCTCCTATTAAAAAGTCCTATTCCTGAAAACTTTATTGAAAAGCGACGTAACTTCAAACAAAATAAAGTCATGAGATTCTATTAGGATAATAGAAGGGGAGTCCGGTCGTTAAGAAACTAATTCCATAAATTTTAATTATCCTCCAATGTGTGGAAGAATTTCTGTGTTATTGAAAAGATATCTGCTGATATAGCATTTTTAAAATTAAAATGTTCACGCTAATACTAAAGTTAAGCGATTCCATTGCTTGATAGTAAAAATAATATTAATTCTAGCACAATTTTTTCTAAAGTTTCAATATAGTGGAATACAAGCATAATATTTATGTCGGAAATCTTCGTGGAAGGTAGCACTTCATCTGCTCTGTTCGTTTGTCGTGACACCTGCTGTTTTTGGAATCACTTCTTTCGGTAAAATTGACCAGATTCTTCCACCTAGAAAAGCAAAAGGATCAAGTGGAAGATTATAAGTTGCATAAAATTTCGCCATATTACATGAAATTCAATTTGAATTTCTAGGAGGTTAAAATGTGTATTTTAACTAGGCGGGGGTGTAAGTATCTGATTAATTAACTCAATAATATCGATAATTACCTTTAGAGTCGTGTACTATCTGATGGAATGGAATTATTTAAGCCATCCGCATCTTGAGATCAAAAGCTGCCGATTGCCATATTTACAACCGCCCTTCAAACTGATAAACATCTCAGACTTTCGGTTATTTCTATCTGATATAAGCTACTTAAAATTTTGAAGTGAGCTAAGCTTACAACCTCGCCAGCCAGACTAGAACTACTCATAGTATCATACCGACTAAAACGGTTATATACTCTGGGCCAATGGGGAAGCTAGTAAGCTGAAGTAAACACCACCTCATTGTCATTCCGTAACGGAAGTCAATGTCCAATGTGGAAAGATGGTAACTTCTCACTTTTGTGTACTTTACGTTTGTTGGACCACCTTGCCATCTTTTCTTTTGCTTTAACTTGTTCAATTTATAACATGTTCCTTAATAAAGTTTATCTTGATCAAAGTTCCTACGGCAACTCATGTTCAACCCAGGGTGTGCACAAATCAAAGGAGAAAGATAGAAATCGCATCGACCAGAGCACATTGAACTTAATTGCCTGCTACCGTTGCTTAGGCTGAAAGATGGAATATCTTTAATTACAGCCTTACCCAGTTCGCTAAGTACCACAGGGAGATCATTGGGGTAGACAAACTTTGCGGACGTGGGGTGTGCGATAGACTTACCTCCACGTGGGGCACCCTGGGCAATGTATACTCATGCGGCAAAAAGTCTATTAATCGGCAGTTGACTTCTCACTTCAAATAACTATCACCCCCACTATATGTCATATTCGACCCCTACCACTACTCATCTTACCCTTTCTGAGCCTTTGTGTCTGTTTCTTTACATCTTTGAAACACTCTTCTATCCCCCCTCCTGAATTCTTCTCACTTTGATGTTCCTTCTCCCCTCTGTGAAGCCCGAAGTCAACTAAACGGCTAATGATAACTATCAAAACCCCTGCCATTTGTTATGAATAAATAAATAAATACTTTGCGGACGATGTTGTACATAGAAACTTTGTGTCAGCATAATCCGTGCTTGGTCGAACCAATATCATCGATAACATTTCTTTAAGGAATATTCAATAAGATAGTTGTTAAAGGTCATGTAAACTACTTAAGATCGATCTACTTATCGGCCATAGAAAGGATTGGGATCGACATTCTTCTAACCGAATCCGAAAATCAAATTAAGTAAATTTTTGTATAACCTCTTTTGGCGGGTATTCTTTATTTTTGCATTGTTTTAGGTACCAGTAATGATAGAGATTAACGTCATCTGAACCGCGAATGTACCCTCCTCATCTTTCTGTCTGATTAGCTGTAGGCGTGATGCTTTAAAGCAAGCCACTAAAATTATGCCAACATGTAGATACTATTACATCATTATCGATTTAAGGCTTTTCCAAGTTCTACTACAATGAAATACACTCGAGTAGTTCCTTGTTAATGACTTTAAGTGAACACAGTCAAGAGAGTTTTGTCAACTTACAATTTTTACACATCTGACCACCTTTAAGTTAAGATTATAAACTGTCAAATATCATATGAAATCATTTTTGCCTTCATGGACATTGGAAGGGAAATTAATTGAAATATCGAGTCAATAACAATTGACTATCATATGTGAGCATCTACTGCAAGGCAGAAGTCAAATAATAACATTCAGAATTCCGAAATGTGAGCTACTAATTACGGGAAATGTTATATAACCCGAATACAAAATCAGATTAAGTATATTAGAATGTTTTTTTTAAATCCCTAGTGTTCTTTGTTGGAATTTCCAGTTAATCGTTAGTACCCACTGTGTATCTAATGCGAACCAAAATGAATAATTAGTCAAAACTGAAATCGCAGTATTCGCCTTCACAAGATCTTAAAAATATGTAAAAAGACAAATAAACAGAGCGTAAGGGAGAAGAGGGGAGGGGTTATATCGTACATTTAGAGATAAGAAGGGTAAAGTGAGCATCTGGAATAGTCCAAACACCGTCCCTGGAGAAAGAGAGAAGGGAATCTTGAACTGAAAGACACAAATCAATAAATACCCAGGAGGAAATTCCAATCAGATAGTCGGTTTGTAAGGTGGGGTGGAGTTAGAAAAGGTATCCCCCGACATTTCAGTCATGTAAGGACCCACATTCTCATTGCCTTTACCTACCGAAGAAGAAAATAAGCAAAGTTTATTGTTTTCATCCAAAATGAAAAACATCAATTAACAAAGTGAGTGTACATTATTATTTATTTCAAATGGCAGGCGTTATGGTAGGTATCATTAACCCTTTAGTTGACTTCAGGCTTCACAGAAAGGAAGATAGACAGTAAAGTGGCAAAACGTCGAGAGGGGGACAGAATAATGATTCACAGACGTAAAAGAGACAGACAGACACAAAGGTAGAAAAAGGTGAGGTGAGTACTGTGGAAGTAGTCGAATATGAAATACAATGGGGTCTTGGTAGTTTGAAGTCAGAAGTCAACTGCCGAATAATAGACTTTTTTGCCGCATGAGTATACGTTGCCCAGGGTGCACCACGTGGAGGTAAGTCTATCGCACACTCCAAGTGAGTGTACATAACTTTGGACAAATATTGCCGGTAATAGACGGCTAGAAAGTGTTTTAGAAGGCAGCGTAGAGAGTAAAGCGGTTATTCAAGACTCCTTGGGAAAGAATGCATTTTTCAATACTCGTCTTATGTGGAATGATAGTGCCTTGGAGCAAACCCCACATTAATTCAAAATAAATAATGCGATTGGACATTCCGTTCACTCTGTCGGAACAAGTGGAAATTGACGAAGTGAACCCATAACCTCCAAATCAGGAGGCATTCACTATAAGCATTGGGTTGCCTCCCAAAAAACATGTATATTAACCAAAATGACATCATATGATATTACAGTGTCTTTCAACTGATTATTATAACTGGATGACCAAATGGACTTCTCTTCTCTATCAAAGAGGGAAGACATCAAATTGAAGGCATCCCATTTTCTTGTGAAACGGAAGAGAGATT